GCAGATAGCCCTCGTGTAGCTTTGCGTGAAATTCCAAAACAAAAAAACAATGCAAAGTGGAAATTATAACGTCTCTTAAAACCAACAGTCATGGATAATATTTGAAATATAACTTCTATGAAAACTCTTTTTAAGTTATTATTATTTTTGCGCAAAACTACATATTGGGCTCTCTGTGCTGCGTCCGATGTGAGAATCGAGCCTCGGATTCTAGCATTATAATATTCTTTATTTTAACACAGAAACAACCAAGTGAACTTTCTTATCGCCAATTCTAGGTCAGGTAGTAAATTCTAGTCGGAAAATTCTCTCTCCGAAAAGGGACTGAAGGCCGCTGGAAATGTCACCTGTTTTAACCACTCACACCACTCTACAGTAGTGTGTTGTCTGTCAGTAGACACTAAAATTACGTCACATAAGGGACGCTTAACGTTGCAGTTTTTACTGTCGCTAGGTCAGTAAAACGTGCACATGCCATGAATCGTGAAAAGAATTACCCACTCTGTAGGCTATAACACAGCACGACATATGAACTTCAAAAGCAAGAAATACAAATATTTGTTACTTTTAATTTTGGTTTTATTTACTCTTGAAACAGAACACTTTCAAGTACCTTACGCAGGTACAATACATATATATAATTTTAATCAGCTTTTCTAAATAAAAATTATAAAACTGTGTTAAGTGTGAAAGTATACGAGTTTTTTGATAAATTTTAACGTAGCATATGTGCAAATCAAAACATTGTAGTAATAAAGTACGTTTGAGTTTATTTTTACTAACAGTGCCACTAAAAAAAAAATGTGTCATATACAATAAATGAATCATAGGCAATACAAAATTATTTGCAAATGGTCAATAATTGTTACATTACTTTTGTTTCTCATAAAGATCTTGTGTAGTTCCCTTCGAGTTGTTATTGACAGAGTAGTGGTTTTAGGCTAACTTTAAGTTCTGGGAACATTAAGATGGTGTAGTCTGTTTTTGTTTCGTCTCACTATTCTATCAAGACCAGCCAACGTAATCTTTCGAGATATTGTGTTTATCTGATGTGATTTCATATTTCGATATCCATAATGTTTTGCGGGGGAGGTGGGCAAAAGGGGGGCCCCAATTAGCCGGAACCGTAACTACAATTATAGGCCCCATGTTCTGTAGTTACGCCACTGCATGCTGACAAGTTTACAGTCTTCTATCCAACGCCTGTATACGGTGAGAGAACATAAATATGTACAAAACTTGAGTTTTTTTCGCGAAATTCTTTCCTGTTATAAACAACTAGATTCTGTTGTTTTGAAAGACTTAATGACAGTGTAAAAGAAACTCGTACAAGCAGAGTATACATTGTGTGACGAACATCTTTATGTGGTTGAGTTTTATTTAAGATATATATATATATATTTGCATCTACTTATCAACAACATTTCTTGGTTTACTAAGAATTATAACGTCTCAACACAGAAACAAAGACATTGTTTACCTCAAAATTCCAGGCATATGCAATTCATAGAACCGAGATCGAAAATATTCCCCAAAATGAATATACTTGTAAATCTATACTAGTCTTTTTCACAGATTCAGAAGTTCTGAAATCATCTTCTATATAAGATCTCTTTGACACTAGAAGAACCACAGTACTAGTAGTCATGGAGTTAGAGCGACCCCTATTTTGTACAAATAAACAATTGGTTTGTTTTGAATTTTGTGCAAAGCTATACAAGGAATACCTGTGCCAGACATCCCTAATTTTTTTACCAACAAATAGTGGGCTTGACCATCACTTTATAACGCCCCCACGGCCAAAAGGGTGAGCATGTTTGGTGGGATGGGATTCGAACCTGCAGATTGCGAGTCAAGTGCCCTAACAACCTGGCCATGCCGAGCCTCTTCAGGTGTCTCAAGTTGAACAGTAAGTTTGTAAACAAAAAATTTCTAAACATTTAAAGTTTAAATTTCTTTTGCAAAAGTTATGAAGTAAAATGAAGAAACTAGATGTCTGGATTACTTTTCAATAAAATGCGACACACACACATATGCAGGTAATGACGACTAGTTCTAAAACAGTTATCTACATTAGAAGTATCAAATTAAGCTGGAATTGAACTTATAAGTAGGTAGCCTCTCTTGCTTTTAAAACCTGCCTTCCTAAATTTTTTGAAATCAGCATTTCTTGAAACCCCAATTCTCACACTTTCTGTCAGAAGTGACAATCTCTTGCCATTTTTGTCACATATCTGCTTCAATAATAGAAATAAATATTCGTAAAATATTTTTTATAACAGTAACTCATGTGTATCTGTAATTGCTTTTTCTGTATTGAAACTAATATTGGAGAACATGAAAAGCTAATTAAGGATAAACTTGTTTTGAAAAAGAAAAATTAGATGGATTATTTTCCTCACCTTTATTTTTGCATTTTTGAAATTTATTTTTAATTATACAACAAATCAAAGTAAAACGTCAATCAATACATACATTGTTTGGTAATATAATGTAGTAAAATTTATTTAATATTTTTTTCTATCCAAAAGCTAACAACACATTATTTATTATTTATGATATAACTTGACTAAAAATATTTTAGCTTTCATGTTTAACAAAGGAAAAAAAAACAGACCAAATAAAACCATCACCCATTTTCTGAGCACAACATATCACAGATTAGAGACGGGTTATTTACTGATACAATTATATGGCTTTTTGGAGAAATTATTTTATGACTAATAAACACATAGTGTCATATCTTAACAACAAATGTTTTTTACATACAGAATCATGACGAGGGAAGTTAGCTAATTCATCCTTTTAAATATACTGCAATAGGTGTTATAAAAATTTACATAGCAACTCTACAGTTTTAAGTACTTTAAATGTTTTATAATTTCTGCAAAATTAAAATTATAATTAATTTTAAATAAAGCAAGCTTCAAATATTGTACACTTTCACTTCAAACTTGTTTTGAACTAAAGTTATTAATCTTCATTTCAATCTTTTTTAATTTGTAGGTTAAATGTATAAGTTTAAGTTATACTTATATATTATTCTAAATGGTGGGATGGAGAGTTTCTGCCAGTTATTTAAAATAACAGCACATCCCATTACTCCACATACACACACCCAAAAAAAAAAAATGTTTAGTTAATCTTAAAGTTTACCACCCTGGCTTTCTCGAAGACAAACGACCTATGATGCTGTACAGTTTGTTCTGATAAAGCCACATTGTCAACACCTTGGCTTAATCCAAAGTAATTGATTGTGTTTCTATTTCACCTATATACTTGTTATTATGTATTTCTAGAACATTTCTGCTTAAGTTAAATAATTTTTAACAGGTTTTCTTAACATACTTAAGCTTACTTACTATGCTATAAGAAATGTAAATATTTTATTGGTAGTTAAAAAAAAACTGCAAAACATTCTTCTGATAAAGATTATACATTTAACTTCAAGGTTTAACAATCAGAGGGAAATTATACAGTTAACTTCTAGGTTTAACAATCACAGGGAAATTGTAGATTCTTTTTTTACCCCAAAAGTTTAAAATAAATTTCACTTTTGACCAATAATTTTATAAACGCCCAAATACAAATATATACATAAATAATTTCAACTTTTTACATATAAAACATAAACCCAGAAAAAAGATCACTTCAGAGTTCTTAAATACATAACAGGCTTTTTTATTTAAGCAATTTAATCGTATAGATAATCATAAGTTGTAACAATTAACAGAAACTTTTGAGTGCTACCCACATTAATCTCTAATGTCTATGTGAAAAATACTAAAAACAGCAATCAAATCTTTCCAGAACTACATCTCCAGGTGTAGATCATAAAATCATCATCCTTACGATTGGAACTACAAAATTAATCTGCTTAGTTGTATTAAAGAAAAATATCCAGCTTTAAAAGCTGGAATTAATCACTTATCTATTTTATATAAACAGTTCAGAAAATTCCTATGGTTGAGTAAGTACAAAATAATCAGCGGGTGGATCATCCTGTCATTTCAACATGACAATAATTGTTTTTCCTGCCATCGAAAAAATCATCCCTTATTCTTTCAAATATATATATTCTTATAAACTCTCTGAAGCTTTAAACAATCATCACTTTGAGATGCACTATTAATTCTTAATCACTTGAATTCGGATTACGAGCTGAAGTTGTCTTATTATTTAAAGGATCCAAAGTGTCCAATGTAAAGTCATCATTTCCAAAGGCCAGTCCACGACTGAAACCATCCTAACAAAAGAAGATTAGATATTGGCTCAATAAAATGTAATTTTTCACAAGTCAAACAAGACAAAAAAAGGAACCATAAATATGATTATATATCTGAAATTATCTTCTGACACACACACACACACACACACACTTACAACCAAAGAAATTTAAAGTTCTATTGAAGCCACACTGGGAAAAACCTGGGCATAATTGTTATTATTAGTATTATTAATGTAATTGATAATGTGGCATAAATTTTTGATTTGGTCAACTTCATCAAATGATACTGCTAAATTTAGTTACATATATAATAACTATCAACTACAAACTTTTTTTTTTTTGCAAAGTAATAGGTTTTAGAAAAATTTGGATTCAGAATGGAATTGCCATTAAAAAAAACTGACAAATTATGATATGAATAGCTAATCCAGAAAACTTCTAATTGGAATAAAAGTAAAATTATTATTACAAAAGAGATAACAGGTTTTATACATTTGCAAAAAAAATATACGTCTGACCACAAAAATACTTTTTTTTTACATAAAAAAATTACCTTCTTAGATTAGTGAGCATGATAAAGGTTTCTGAATTGAAATGATGTACAGTAGTATGTTCAATAAAACCAAAAGATCTCATGCAATGTTAAACACCTACATACTACATAATATAAAATAGACTAGCACTAATGTAATTTGTTCTTACATGGATTCATTACCCACTCTGAAATTTTGGAACACACAAAGACAGCTGGAGTTAGCAATTGTCACTACCAAATTAAATAAAAAGGAGAAGAGAGAGATTTCACTTTCTTTGTTGTTTAGTTAATATAATGATATGTTAGTATTTATATTACTTATGCCACACTTTAACCCTTTCCGGATGGGTCATGGTTCAAAGGCCATGTCATTGCATTTGTTGACTTGCATTCAAAATTTTATTGAACTACTATTTCATGAAATTATGTAGATTATAATTCAAATTTTAGTATTATACATTATTCAATTTCTTAATTTAAGAGTAAATATAAAATAAAACAGTTAAACACTGATTTTTGTGTCACATGGTATGTTGAATACAGCACTGGTTCAGACTAGATGTTTGTGATGTCAAAATACTAAGTCTATAGTTTCGTATGAATTAAGAACGCAAATTACCGATATTGACAAGCTAGGATATAAAATATAACCTCATATCTTTTCTATTTGCTGAGATACCACTCATATAATGAATCAAACACAGTGGCTCCACTCATTTTTGTCCCCCTAGTGGATTTCTTAGCCATTTTCAAGTGTCAGGACACCATATCGTTCCTTCGAACCAAGATTTTAAGGTGGTAGATTGAGTCTGCTCGAAATTTCATATTTTTTTTAGACCTAAATACAGCTTAGTTACTAAGCTTGATAAATTGTAGTGGAATTCTATGATATCAATACAGTAATTTATGATTTTTTGTTTATTCAATTGTATATATATAAGACCTGAAAAAAATTATTTTGTTTCATATCCTCCACATGCAAAATTTTAAAAAGCTTTACAACCTACATCAACCAGCAACCAAGTACAAAGGTGGTAACTAGAAGAGATGACTGTTATGCTTTACTTCTATATTTACTATTCTCTGTTTTAGATAAAATAAGTTTAAAAACTTAATTCTAAATTGTAATAATCTATATACATATATAATAATTGAAATGTGACTGTATTTTACAAAATACTACTCCACTAAGACACAGCCAAGACAGGTCACTTTGTGAAGACTAAAGGATAGTTCTATATTATTGTTAGCCAGGCACGGTTGAAAGATAAATATAATAAAAATAACATATATATAAATGTATAATGTTACGAGATTTTAGCTATTTAGTCTAAAAATTTATGTTTTCGTGTTATAATCTGTAGTCATTCTAGAATGAAAAAGGCATAATTTGTATTTATTTCCCAATTTTTTTATGGTGGTTACAAGATCAATCAAATCGACAGTACTCGTAGAGAGATACAGTAGTGAAAATAAAACATAAAAAAGTTTTTTCTATAAAATATTTGATAATTATCTGGAGGTTATAAAGATTTCGCATGTAAAATTTGAAAATGTTATGATGGATAAAAGTATTTTTAATCTTAAAATCAAAATTACTTTACATGTTGGAGAGTCAACATCCTGAAAGAAAAAATTTACAAGAAAAGTTTCAATTAAAAAACCTTAATACTTAATTGAAAAACCTGATATTTTGTATTTGAAAGCCTTTTAATGTTTATTTACCAATAACCTGCAAAATTTTGTAAAGATATGCATACATTATCAAAAATCATATTATGATTACTTTCATGGTTACAAGCTGGTTCGATTCCGCCCAACCCGTAATGGAAGGGTTAAAAACTGGTTCCATCTAAGAATTATTTAAATGTTTACATTTTTCAATAATTAACTTAACTAATGTCCGTAGTTAAAAGCCATAGTATTTAAACCACACTATATCTGCCACATCCAGTGTCAATGTGGCATTTTTGTCTAATGCTACAGCTCATCAGGCCAGATGATATTTGACTCTTTTTAGTCCTGAAAAAGAAGAATTAATTTCTAGCCATTACCTGCAAAACATTTGCAGTAGTTTTCATGCCCTTTACATGAATTTTCCTTATTCTATCATTTTCACACACGGCATTTAAGCTACACTTTCTTGTAGGCGCTATGTGTTAGATTGATAACTCCTGGTCTATTTGAAAATATTTAACGTGATCAGACAAACAAACTCACGTAGATGTAACTCTATTTAATAAAACTACACATAAAGTAAACAATAAAGTAAAATAATGGGATTTATAATAGTGTACAGAGGATGAAACAGTTATGAGCACTCAGTGTTATGATATTGGTTTTACAAGATGAAACAAAGAAATTCACAAAAACGAAGAATAAAACCCCTAATAAAAAAAGTAGCTAAGAGGTGTTCATAGCAGTCTATGAAATGAGCCAAAGCTAAATCATTGTAAAGTAAAGTAAATGTACAGTTGTACTAAATGCAAACTTAGCTGAATATACAGAAACTTCCGAATCAATGTTCACAAAGTGATAAGTATATGGATTTGAATGAACTGTGCATGTGTAACTTTACATATAAATAAGTTGAGTATTTAGTGTAATGTTCATTTTTTGGAAAATTAAGTGTGGGTTAATTGTCGTTTGTGTGAAATACCTTGCAAATAAAAAAAACAACTAAAGTTGAAAATAAAGCCAGTCATCACGTGATGACAATGACATTATGTAGCATACACATTGCATTAAAAAGTTTGACTAAGCAAAACAGGTGAAGTGATTCTGAATGAAAAAGCCAATATGCAATCTGGACTCCTCAGACAAAGGCCTTTCTAACTATATGAAATTTGTAACATTTGATCGAGAAATTTTCCAGATAAGTTCCGGACAGACAAACGCAAGCTTATTATTTATATAGATTTGAAAGTGCTTGAAATCCTCAGTCTTTTGATATTTTTTGTTAATTCTTTCATTCCACCAGAGTAAAAAGTACTAATTGTGTGTGTGTGTGTGTGTATATACAAACATATATACATATAGAGAGAGAGTGAGAATTAAATAGATAGTTCTAAGTTTTACCTTCATTTCTGACAATCTTTTATCAATGAATCCAATAGCATCTTCTAAGTCCTGGGGCTTTACTCCATAGGCACTAAAATCTCCCATCCCAAAGGGATCATCAGCCTCATCTATAAGCATAAGTGGTTCTGCTCCAAACACGTCTTTTGGTTGATCAGCTTCATCAAATGTCACTTAAAGAAACAATCAAAGTATTATTATAGCTTTCATAATAATAAAATAGTTGTAATTTGATCAGCTTCATCAAATGTCACTTAAAGAAACAAAGTATTATTATAGCTTTGATAATAATAAAATAGTAGTAATTTGATCATCATCATCAAATGTCACTTAAATAAACAAAGTATTATTATAGCTTTCATAATAATAAAATAACTATAATTTGATCAGCTTCATCAAATGTCACTTAAAGAAACAATCAAAGTATTATTATAGCTTTCATAATAATAAATAACTGTAATTTGATCAGCATCATCAAATGTCACTTCAAGAAGTAAAGTATTATTATACCTTTGATAATAATAAAATAGTTGTAATTTGATCAGCATCATCAAATGTCACTTAAAGAAACAAAGTATTATTATAGTTTATATAAAAAAATAAAAAGTTTAAAATTGTGATTAAGTGAAAACTGAAACTGGGTGGATTTCAAAATAATGACCCTACTTGCTGAACAGATGAGTCAACTAGTTAGGCTAAAACTCGTTTGATCAGCTTTATCAAATGTCACTGAAAGAAACAAAGAAAATATCAACCTAGCTTTAATAAAAATTGTGATTAAGTGAATACTGAGATTGGGTAGATTTCAAATTCATGATCCTCTTGGCTGAATGGAACAACATTAAATGATTTCTGCCCTTCATAAGCCAACTGACCTACCCTAAAAGTCCTGACCTCAATAACAAGTGGAAAATTGATACTTGCAGTAATCGAAGTGTTAAAGCATTTGCTTTGCAAGTCATCACAAAAGTTTGATTTCTGCATATTTTTAATTTTCACTTCATCAGAAAGATCACTAAATTCACAGAGTCACATGCCATTCTTCAAATGTTTACATACACGAAAAAGAATATTAGTTTGATAAATATAAGTTAAGACAATTTACAGGCGATCACAACAGTAAGAACAAAATCTCGTCATTGAATTAAGAATAAGCTCCTACAAACAATAAGTAAAACATCAATATATATATATATATAAACATATTACCTTGTTTCTTACCATTCTGATTGAAATCACCTCCATTCCGAAATCCAGGTTCTCCTCTAGGGTTGAAATCCTCTACGATATCAAGATCAAGGTTTTCTAGTCGGCGACCCACAACTGGAACTTGGAAATTTATATCAGATAGCTCAAGTAGAAGATTCTAAATTCAACAAATTCCAAAAAATAAATCAAAAATTATTTATATTATGTAATAAATACTAAACTAAATTTTATGTCACTAATTTAATAAAAAGAGGTTACATAAACATAACCATGTGAAAAAATCTGATATCATTATTCACATAACTGTTAGAAAAAGTTTTCTTGCTGATAATTGTAAAAACAAATCTGAAAATTACTACTGCTAATGAGACTCCCGATTAATAATAAAAATATAAAAGATACAATAATATTAGACTCAAAATATTCTTAATTATTTATACTCAGTAACAATGATAGTTCATTTCGTTTGATCCTGTACTGCACTGTTTAAAAAATATAAAGTGGGTCACGCATGTGGGTGTTCACACACACAAAAAAACAACAACAACATAATTCAATAGCACAAAAACTTACATTTGTTGGCATTGTAGCTGTTAAAGTACGAGGTGGAACAGGAGGTTGAAGTTCACCAGAAGAAAGGACAGCTTTATTATTGGATGGTCCTGTTGTCGTGCCATTAACAAAATTTGACCCGGGGCTCTGGAACAATGAAATACAAGAAAAATAATGTAAGATATTTTAAGAGTTATTATTATTAGTTTTGTTTTCCAATAAAAATATTTGTAACTTTGTAAAAACTCATCTAAACTACACAAAGCAGTTACTGCTACATAGGTATTTTTTCAATTTGATGAAAATAAACATTTAGCATAGATTAATTTGTTTCTTTTCAAAATCTCTAATCAGCTTAAATAAATCTTTAATGTACATATTATTCTAATGAGTCTACTGTAAATGCTAGTACTCTAACAGACCACACACTTTTTGAAAAGTACAGAGGCCTAAAGTTCAATGGTTACATCTGTTTATGTGACCATAACTTTGAAGAGCTGTGCAAAAAAAGTTGTATTACTGAAAGGACCATTTCAATAACAGTTTTTCTCTCTCTCTCTAATGAGAAATCACGGAATCATGCACAGTTACTTCATGAAAATCTTTAATAAAATTAAAAATTATGTCTAATGAAATGACTGAATTAACAATTCAAACTTTACAATGCCTCCTCCAAATTCTACAGCACTTAATGTTTACCGAAATAACAGTCAATGATCATAAAAGAGTGCACAAAACTACAAGAGAAAACATACTAATTGCCAGCTTTCAAGTGTTATAATAATCATGCTGTATTTCATAGCTTCTAGCACATCACAAAAATGAGGTTGTTTGAATTTTTGTCTGAATTATATGAAACTAATTAAATATGGCATGTAAAATTAATCTGAAGGTTACTGTCAGACAAATAAACAATGGTTCTTTGTTTGAATATTTGTCAGAATTATATGTAACTAATTAAATATGACATGTAAAATTAATCTGAAGGTTACTGTCAGACAAATAAACTATGGTTCTTTGTAAAATCTGTACTATACAAAATATGAAGAGTAAATTCAGAATTCATATAAAGTAAATCTCTTTAAAAGAAAATCTCTCAAAACCTCTTGTTGGTTCTTATTTGACCCATCAGTTCTGTCTCCTGAAGTTTGGAGTTTAGCGATTTTCTCACGTAATTCTGCATTCTCATTTTCCAGTTCCTGTACCTAAAGAATTGTAGGGATCAGTTAACTATCTATAGATTAAAAAAATAAAGTAAAAATATGTGACTATTACTTCTACTTCATTTGATTTAAGAAAACTTTACCAAACCAAAATTCCAGACATTATATTTCACATGTTATGTTATACATTAACTTGTATGTATTATACACTAATATTACATATGTTAAGTACTGTATATCTTATACATTAAATAGAAAAAAATTACCAACTATTTAGTTAGACTTTTTGTTAAATTAACTATGGTTCAGGAAAGGTAAAAATACAAAATATGGAAGTTTATATCTACATTGGTAGGCCAAATGTTTCCACTGTGGGACTAGCAGTATCTACAGTAATAATAAGCCTGTAAACATAAAAATATGAAATCCAAACTAATCTCGGTAAAATAATTGATTCCTAATCAGATGATATATAAATAAGCAGAAAACTTCTCCACTAAACTCATGTACTGTTGAGATATACCTACCCCAGGCTTGGTTATAATAAAGCAAATATATGAATAAACTAGAGGGGCATGCTGTAGAGTGCATACCTCCACCATGCAGCATTGATCATGTACGGCTCTCAAAAAGTACGAAAATGTGTCCGTATATCCACCATTATCAACAGACACGGACCATTTTTGGCAGGACAACATTCTACAAATGTCCACCAAATTTCATCAAAATCAGATCAATTTTTTACTTATTATAGGGCAAAAATAGTGTAAAAAATTCGGTTAACAAATAGGGATTTTTATTTTCGTAACCTTGATCTTAAACCGTCCAAAAACTAAACACTTCTAAGTTGAATCATAGTCCAAATGTATACCAACTTTCATCCAAATCCATTCAGCTGTTTTTGAGAAATCTTGCTGACAAACATATACACACACACACACACACAGGGGTGAAACATAACCTCCGTCCACCTTTGGTGGCAGAGGTAATAAACTTCTTTGGTACACTAACATTCCTTTAGTTAGTAGTTACATTTGAAAAATACCTGTAATATAATGACAGCTAAATACTAAGTGTATAATTCACAAGAATTTACTTCCAAATTTTAGGCTTAGACAACATTAAATGGAATATAAGTCTAAAATGTCTAAATATAAATGTAGGATACACCCAGTTTGAATTAACAAATACCTATAATGTAAAACCAATAATTCTCAGGTTAATATCTGCAATTTAAAATTTTTAGTTATAATCTTCTACACGGAAGAAACATCGAAGCATCTGGGGTGTAATATTTGACAGATAACTTCACTAATGACATTAACATCATGATAACAAGAGTTACCAAATGCATCAATGCAATATAAATTGCAGTAGGAAATGGAGCTGAAGAATGTCACCTGCTTATACTCTTCCAAAGTCTTATTCACTCCATCCTGGATTATGCACTACCTATGATCAGTTTTAATTCTGAAGAAGAAAAGTAAATGATTTAAAAGCTCCTAATTTTCTGAGTTTTTCAAAATCTACTTAACTGCTTTTTGGTTAATCCTTTATGCTAATTCTTACATTATGATGATCAGAATGAGGGCTACACAGGTAAATAAAATTGCAAAGATACAAAACACCCATTTAAGATTGGAGTTTGGATGTAGTTTAGTCACCCCCATCAAAGTCCTCCTACACCTCACAATCTTCAGCAACTATGCTGAGTATCAACAGAACTTACAGGCAAGTTTCTATTCCTAAGGTCTTACAGTGTAAAGCCACCGTCCTTTTCAGTTGGGACATTCCAGCTCCACCATGACACTGTAGACACTAACCAGGCAGATGAGTGCCTAAAAGCCAATCATGGTTGGACACAACCATTGAGTTTATCTATTATTACCAGAACTCAGATGTCCCTATGTTGAAAAAACATCTGGCACCACTGAGATCTGTGGAAATTAACCTAGGTTGAAAATACACAGATTGTGTAGAGGATGAAGTGGAAAAGGCTTGCCAGCATCTATATGAAAACCATGTTTGACAGTCAATAACTTGTCACCATAGCCACAGACAACTCCTACACCATAGATAGTGAGAGGATTGGTTGGATATTCATTAATTTGTGGAGCAACAGCATTCGAGCTTCCCACAAGAAGCACAAGGATGGAGCTGGAAGCAAGAACTGCAAAACGTTCAGAGTGGTTGGTCCCCAGATAGATGGCAGAAAGCAAAGCAACTGCATGGTAATACCATCATATGGTTGTGTGTACCAAGCCAGGCAGGGGTAAAACTAAACAATCAAGCTAACAAGATAAGCCCCTTTACCAAATCCAGCATGACTCTACTGGCCGGATATTGACCTCCTCTGCATTAATAAGGTGAAAACAGTAACCACGGAAGATCTTTATTATCAACATTTAGAAAGATAGAGATTGCTCAAAATCAAATTACTGCATGTAGCTAGGAAATCAAAAGAACAATATACAACCAGAAGACCACTGGTAACAGCAGTAAAGAAACTTTCTTCTACTTTCTGAGAAGCAGTCAGCCTCTACATGAAGGATAAGCACCAGTTGGCAAGACTAATTGGATTGTCTCTTAGTACTCAACTGAATGTAAGTTATTAGCTCAGTGGGAAGTTTGAAGGATTATAATGCTAAAAATCAGATTTTGATACCTGTGGTGAGAAAAGCACAGATAGCCCACTGTGTAGCTTTGTGCTTAACTACAAACTTAATTTATTACTTATTCATATTACGACTAGTAAAAATCAAAGCTAGAATCAAATACGAAAAAGTTTTTTTTTTTTGGTTTACCATTAAAAACTTTTTTCATTCATCTTCACACACCCTGTTTAACTTTCTGCTATTTGCAGTTTGTATTCTCATATAAATGTGCTACATGCTACACTGTATTACCTTTATTTGGCTTCTGTGTTGTATTTAACCAGTCTGTAGACAGAGCTAAACACAGACTACTAAATGTGTATCAGAACACTTAAAAACTTTTATGGTTACGAGGTTACAAAAATGGAAACCAAAAGAAAAAGCTAATGGTCATATTTTGGGTAAAGTTATTTCTTATCTACGGTTATCCAGTTAATGTAGGAATACACCCTTAAAATATATATTAAATCTAAAACAAGTCTAGTTTTCTGAGAAATATTTTGATTCAGTTTTAAACACTAGAGATCGTTATGTAATTGGTCTGAGCTCAGCATAGTTTCTGTTGATTTTAAAGCCATAGTTCTAAGCTTATATTAGACTTATGGCCATGGTTATAATGTTGTTTCTCAGTGCAAAGCTACACTATGGGCGTCTGCGCTCTCTCCACTGTGGAGGTTCAAACCCCAGATTTTAGCACTGTAAAACTTATCACTGGCCCACCAAGGGACACCATGGTTGTAATCTCATACTAGATTTAAGGGATGGTTTTAAGCCCATATTAGACTTAAGGCCATGGTTGTAAGATTATATTAGACCTAGAGTCACTGTTGCAATATTCCCCATAATGCCTGAAGTGAACAATCCTTCTCTCAGTCTTGTGTTCATTCTGTTAAACCAAATATTAGTTACACGAAAGAGATGTTTGTCAGTGAAGCTTTAGTATCTTCAAGGCCTGGGCTCTTATCTCATATCTTGAAGAACAAAGGTTTTGTTTATGCACTGTTTTAGTATGAAATTTCAAATTAAAACTAATAACTCAGTTCAAATATCAAAATTCCACTTAGACCATTGCAATAATATACTACAGGATTTTCTTCTCTCTTTTGTTGACTCGGTAAATTACATTGGAAGCCAAGTATATAACTCACTCTCTTCTGCAGAATCATGTAATTTTTCTTCATTTCCATGTCCTTCCCAGAGGTTTCCAAGAAACGACGATATGCCAAGTCAAAGGCTTGTCCAATTGTTAATGTTATTTCTTGAGACTGAAAATTAATTAAGAAAAATTGTGAAATTATTCAGGCACACATCTCTGTCGCTGTTAGTAGAGTAAATAAATTCATATCATGTTGATAAAAATGAAAGTTATTATCTATACAAATACAGAAATAACAAATACACTTAAAAAGTTGATTACAAAGTAAACCATGAGTAAATGACATCAACACAAGAAACTCTGATCAAAAATTGTATCTACAGAGAACAGTTAAAAGCCAATATAAAAAGTGAAGTAACTGACTGTAAAAATATTTGAAATACATCTTGAAAGTGACTTACATATTGAATTCATTGAAATACATCTTGAAAGTGATGTACATATTCATTGAAATACATCTTGAAAGTGACGTACATATTTGATTCATTGAAATACATCTCGAAAGTGATGTACATATTCATTGAAATACATCTCGAAAGTGATGTACATATTCATTGAAATACATCTTCAAAGTGAGATACATATTAAATTCATACTACTGAAATACAAGATGTTTTCCACAAGTTACAAATGTTTTCTTAAAATTCAGATTCTTAGGGATAAAAACAAAACCACAGAGTTTGGCTTGGTTGTTGTTGAGCACAAAGCTACATAATGAGCTAAATGTGCCATGCCCACAATGAGTATCAAATAATCTATTTTCAGTGTTGTAAGCCTGCTGACTTTTCACCGAGCCAATGTGGGGCACAAGAGAGAGAGAAAAAATGGCTAAAACAATTATTGAACTGTAATAGTTAACTGTAAAATTATAATAATATAAGTTGTGGTATTTCATCTATATAATTTAAAACAAAATGAATTTGAATATTGAACACAACTTCAAAGAATGTTCAATTCAAAATAAAACTTACCAGTTTGTCACTTATAAAGACAAAACAATTATGTTTTTCATTTTCTTCTTTGGCAATAAAACTGAAGAACTTCTTATCACATTTGTCATCAGCACAATATGATATCCGATGAAGGGGATACTGGTGGAAAATTTTCTTAACAGCAGATAGAAAAAAAATTAAATCAGCAACGAACCACAATAATAAGTGGCAACAAAACTTAACTATATTTAATGGCTTTGATAAAATAGCAATTTTTACTTGTATCTGAAGGGGAAAAAAAATCTTGGAAACACATACAGCAAATAATTGATACAATGATATTCCTTAACTGGTACATAGCTAATATATATTTATAAAGTAATTTAACAGTAAACTCTGTTAAACAAAAGTGGTAGGGGGGGATATAGACTACCATAAAAATTGTGTTACTTCACCACAACAAAAATTATGTCTCCCAAACAAACTTTTGTGAACCATAACATGAGTGTTGTAGCAACATGAATACACAAATTATATATGTATTAAAATAACACTAATGGCATGCAGTTTTCAATTAAAAAGTGTGTTTATTTAAATAAACTGTTATATTGTGATTTCACATTATTTTCTGTAAGTATGTGCATGTCATTCAAAAGTCAACATAAAAATTGTGCATCAGGCAACATTTATAATTTTATTAGTCCATAATAATCTTGTTGTTTTAACTTGAGTTTTAGTTCCACAGAACTCAAATTGTGTTGTTTTCAAAACATATTCTTTATGTAAGTTTTTTAACTGAATTTCAAATGATGCAGAAAAAAAAAAGCTTTAGCTTATTTTTACAGGGTAAACACGTGTAAATGGAAGGTTTATTCTTACATACGAATAACAATTTGTGGAGAAAAACTGCATAAACAATAATAATAATTAAAATCATAACATTATCATTTGTTCTGAGTGACAAAATACTAAAGGATTTTAATGAACAAGTGTGTGCAGGTCTGTTTGCTAATTTATACAATTTTTGTATCAAACTATAATTTGTGACACCTCGATAAAAATAACCTTCACGTGTTTTAGCTAGTAAGAAATATTTTGAAAGCACTGGAAAACACAAAGAGGGAGTAAACTTAAAGTGATGCCTTCATGAATTTCAAGTCAAGTACATTTAACCATTATACCTCTTATCTGTGTGAAATGATTTAGGTATTTTGATGAAACAGTAAAGATACAGCTATTATTTTATATATATGTGAAAAATATACGAGTCATATTCTTAACAAACTCTAAGTTAATAGACATGTACAAATGTGATTTTGACATGACAGATAATTAACGAAACTATTTATAACTAATATATAATCCAAATTTTCACATAGGAGTGTTATAATTTTGATTAAAATGCATTTCTTTAGATTTAATATTGTGTGTATTGTTTTTATTTAAAAAGGCAATATTTTAAATCATTAACATGATGATATTGTGGGTGGTACCCTGAGCTCTATACAGTTATCCAACTTTCTTTAAAAGATAGGAAGGCAAGGTGAAATTACTATTGACTGTCAGGAGGATGGACACAGTAGTTGTACATGACAGATTATGGCTCGAATTCTCTGTTGTTTTTTCAACAGGGACTTGGAACTACAGCAGGTACAGTGTTATTGTGCTCTTTGGAGTTTACTCATTTGAATGATAAAAGTTTTTGTGGTAATTTTAAATTTTTTTGTTTTAGTAAATCTCAAAGGAAATGTTATCAATCTCATTTCTCTGCTCTGGAAGTGATGTCACACAGAACTTTCAGGATAAATTTATCTACAATGAAAGAAAACAAGTAAAAAGCATAATTCTTAAATGATAATGTTATTCTATTAAGTAGAAATTATGGAAGTAAGTGATAAATCAAAAAAAAGGAAAAGTTTAAATGTTTGTACCAGAAAGAAAATAAAAAAAAAAATCACTTAATATTTTCTGCAGTAGACTTTATTGAGAGTAAAAACATGCTGTATGTACAGTACTTAAATGAGCTTTAATGTCATTAAATTATTCTGTACTAGTATTATTATTACATAACGTGTATTTATTCTATCATGAACAATGATATTTCATTATAATGTGAATGTGTTAGCATCCTCTAAAATCTGTGTTTAAATGAGAGGGCACTATATTTAACAATTGAACAAAAAAAAGACAGGCAAACAACATACTTTATGCTATGTCCATGCTTCTCAAGGTCTGTAAAATAGGTATACTAAATTCCATTTTTTTAGGTTGCCACATCATGTAAGTGCCCTGTCTGATACTAGTGTCACAAAACTGAAGATTAGTTTATGTAATTTATGCAAGTCCATCAACAGGACTTTGTGCTTTATTATTTTATGATTTAAATATAGTGATATGTGGTGTTTTATTTTAAATATTGTTTACCTTTGTTTTAAAATCTTGGATAGCCACTCCATCCACTGATATTGTTAACTCAACTTTTGGTATTTTACCACCTTCTGATTTCTTCAGTTGCTGGGAGAACTAAACACATAAAAAACAACAACAACAAAGAGCAACATTAAATGGAATACAAACACAACTTAACATTATACGTTTTGACCATAAGTTATTTAAGAAAGAAGTTAAGAAAACACTTTCAAATTTCATCTTCATTATGCAAGGACTTTCCATTTAAAAACAAAATTACCAAGTAACAGCACAATGAGCCTCAACGACAATACTGAGAGTTTGTCATTTTTTGTCACGCTCAATTTGATGTTATAATCACACACTATTGCCCAACATTGTAATTCGTTGTAACAAGTTTCAATGAAGGACAGCAAAGTTAATCCAAGACTGTACATCAAGACTAAGTTTACACAGATCCTCAAATCTGTGTTTGAGAATTGGCTTCTATGACCACATCTAAGTAAACCAAAGGCACAATGATCCAGTGGAGTTGTGTTGGAAACTTCACAGGTGTGTGTGTGGTTGATGGCTATTGTAAGTCTCGTTTCTTTTACCATATTTCTCATAAAAACAACAATTCATTTTGAGGTGGATGAAAGTCTGTAAATACTGGCTTTCACCATTTTCAAATCCTTATTTATTATCTTGTTAACAGTACTAGGGAAATATGCCAAGTCTCATCATAGTAGCTTTTGGAGGCAGAAAGTTCTTTCTAATAATCATAGTCTGAACTTTGCAGATAAGAGCCTTGAAATAAATTAGCTTGGAGGATGATTTTGGAGCTCATTGTTACCATAAGTTTCCAAATCAATAAAGAACAGTGAAGGCTCTCTTTTTTAAAAAGTTATGTATCCTTAACACTAAATTGTTAAAAAATATCTTTGGAAAAGTTTTTTGTTTCATTTTTTTTACATTCCTCCAAGTATAAGTCTATTGAGAATTTATCTTGAACCAAATGTATAACTTCAAAAACATGTCACCCATGGTGCCAGAACTTGCTGACATCTGTGGTGACAAGTCAGTTCATTACCATATACAAATTATTCAAATAAAGTGTAAATCACCCTTTGTAATATTAAATAACAAAAACATATAATTGATTTTCAAAATATTTTTATGTGAGAAAATTAAACACTATAGAGGGCATCTTAGGAGTTATTTCTTTACTACTACAATAAAATAAAATGAAGTCAACATACTGATGAAATGATCATACAGAAAATATAATACAATTCTGTAAACAACTCACCCTCAATTTCTGAATCCCCTGTTTCACAACATTTATACCTTTAGGCTGATCCACTTCTGTATTCCCTAGAAACTGTAAATTTTATGCAAACATCATTATTCAATTGCAGTAGCCAATTTCAAACATCTGTTGTATAAAAGCTTTTATAAAATTTGCCAGTAGTAATAACATTATACGCAAGTGAAATATTCATGATGTTATTAAAACACGAAGGTTCAAGAAGTCTTGATAGAAATGAATAAAAACCCTATAACCTGAGCTCTTTCGAAAGGTCGACCTTTCGAAAGTGCTCATGTTATAGGGTTTTTATTCACAAGCAAAATAAATACCTTTGCTGAATCTCTCAAGCAAATATAAATTTATTGCTTTACTTGTGTACTTAACCAATTTAGGACATGTAGACAAGTACAAAATTTATTCAAAGACAAAACCACTAATGACTTTCATATTATTAGTAGCCTATAAAACATTCTTGACTATGAACATATATATAGGGAAACTTCTGAAGAAAATAATGGGATACTTCTTTAACAAGTATGCTATAAATAAAAAATACATTAAAAAACACTGTATGATCTAAGAGGCAACATTGATTTTTTTTTCTCAACCACAACTAATATAGCTTTTAAGATCAAATTCAGTATTTACTAATTCATAAGTGTAAAAGAAAGAAATTTCATCTTTCAGAGATATGCAAATTTAAAACAAGCTATACAAAACATATATGCTTTTAATCAGCTAGCATTTGCAACAGAACAAAATGTAGTGAAAAAAATTACACATTCAAAATCAGTAAGTTGACAATGAAGATGAGATTTAATGTAGCAGATCAAGAATACTAAAAAACAAACAAATTTTCTGCATGTCTGGTTTTAATAGATTGAATAAAAACTTCACAATATTTACCTTAACTAAGTAAGCCACATGACCTGCATTCAGGACATCTGGTGAATGGATCCACGTTCTGCTACCTGAAAGATATGCATATTTTACAAAATTTCCTAAATGCAAATTCTGAACACTACATATTATTTTTCTGACAGAATCAAATTCATTTGTATATGGAACATAGTCATCGGACAGTTAAGCTCGTAATTCACTACCATTCCTCTGAAAGTGGATTCCATAGCATCATTAGTGATTGAAGTCACTTGGTAGGATTTTATGCTTCTCCCGGGATCTTCTCATACCTGCTCGACAAGAGACTAAAGTCCAGTGAGTATGAAGATCATACCATTTGGTCAATCCTCTCTTCTTCGAGGAACATATCAACTAATTTAATGTAGTCATTGATATTCATCAGGCTGAAGTCAGGGTAAATTGGACCAGCCTATGACAGCAAAAAGGATAAAAGTATGTGTTCCCTATTAAGTGGTATTAATGGTATCATTCTGCAGTATGTAGAGGTCTACACATTCAACAAAGCTTAGTCTTTCTCATTCTTACACCATACTTCCAACACTGCCATACGTATGGGGTTCCTTTATCGTTCTAGTTCCAGATTCTCTTCAAATGAGTGTGCAAGCCTTGTATCTAGCAGTGATTGACTGCACCCCATTGGTTATCTGGCATACACGATGACTGTGTACAGTCTGTTGTGGTTTTTTTCTCCTCATGGGTGTGTTTTGGGGAATTCCCAAGAGTGGCCACAGATAATATCTCTTCTCCTGCTCTCAGGTAGCTGAAATTGAATAAAATACATCACAACTAGCAATATGAAACAAAGTCATGACTGACAGCAGCAGAGAGTACTAGTAAAAAAAGAGACAAAATGTGCAGAAAAGAAGAGGAAAAATTAAAGTATAAAAATGGATGAGCTAACTCAATGAAATTGGCTACAGGTCAAGGAATAGTCATCTTCCTGATATTTGTATGCAAGAAAAGTTGAAGTCTGTAATGCAGAAGCAAACAAGACAAAGGAGTGAAAATAGACTGGGTCATCTTAATGTATTTCCAGATGATGATTTGAGACTTGGTAAGGAAAAGTATATATACGGAACTGAGTGGAGGCCATCAGAAGTAACCATGAGGACAAAAAGGCTTGTGGCAATTTGCAAGGACTATTTGGACTTTTTGAGGCTTGGTGTTTTAACTGAACTGACAAACTGGAGAAACCAGAAGAGTACTGTGTTGAATGACGAGAACTGGATGGAAAAATCTGAGTAAGTTTAATGCCAGAAGAGTGTGATGAAGGGTTACTGTACATGCTTTTTCAGATAAGGGGAGAAAAAGTAGAAGTTAATGTTGAGACTGAATCTGATAAGGTACAAAAAGACTTAAATGTAGTTTTGACAGTATTCAGAGGATGGTTGGAATTTTTTGTCTCAGCTTTTTAGCTTTGGAGTAAAATAATTTAATGGTAAGACCAAAGTGAAGCAGTTGTTAAGTTTCAGAAGAAGTTGCAATCACCTGAACAATGCTTGTGATCTTTTTTCCTTTATTTAATTTGATGAAATCCATGTGAGTGTGAATGGGAAAAGCTAAGAGCATGGGTAGATAACTTACACAAGAATATTTGACAGAGAGAAGAAAAATGCTGACAGCACCGTAAGAACTAATAGGAGGTTGCCAACTGAGAAGCCATGATTGAAGAAAGAGACCATGGTCCATTTGAATGCAAGGTTGAATGAACAATTTATTATAATGTAGTTCTTTTGTTTTTAGAGGATCAATCTTGATCCCCCATGCTTGAATTAAGAATAAAATCAGAAATTTATAGTGGAGATACACAAGTAAGCAATTTGTCAATGATGAGCAGAAAAGAAACCAGGCTTCAAATAAGATTATCTTCAGAAATGTAATCCCACAAAAAGTTGCAAAAAATTGATGGAAATGCCTCATTCACTGAATGGAATTCCAATAAACTTTAGTTCTTAATGCAAATATTTGATTCAGTTTTGGATCAGGTATTCTCAAACTGCATGAATCAAGAAACAGAGAGCAACTACTTGTGTTCTGGATGATGATATGCTTTGTCCAGGTGTCCAAGCAACTATTAGTTTGGAAGCAGTTCCACATTCTGTAAGTGACACTTTAAGATCCTTATAACTAATTAACAATAGCCTACTGTGATTGGCCAACCAGAATTATCAAAAGACCTAGAAACCATTGATAAAAACTTTTTAATTTTATCAGTAGGAAGACTAGTGTAAATAATACTGAAAAAAATGTTTCTATTAAAAAAACCTTTAATCTTATCTTGACATTCAATGGAATAACAATGATAATTAATGGATCAATACCAGTTCTCTCTTTGATAATATTTAACTGCTCTATAATGTATTTCAGACCATTACCTATTCGAATTGACAAATCCTTAATCATAGCTTTTTTAGCCCCAACAATAAATCTGTATTTGTACATGTTTTATATAGTTTGGGAATCCAAAATAATTTACATATCACACTGTAAGCTATAACAGAATGTACACCAAAATCTGATAAAAATGTAAATTTTTATGTATGATACTATATTTATTGGTATTAGCTTTGATTTTTCTTTCACTGGTGATAATGGCATATTCAATCTAACTGTACAACTAATATGGCATCCTGGGGAGGACATAAAAAGATTACTGTACAGCTTTAGATATCAACAGCTCACCAAATGACAGTGAAGTTTTACAATTGTTTTAGATTCAATTATTCTTTAGAATTTGAAGTGTGGCATTTTGAAGTGTTGAATTAATCTAACGAAGAAATTACTAGAAGGGCCACTCAGTAGTAAGCAAATTTTATTTCTTTACAATCAAAACAACTATTGTTCCAAAGTTCCAAACTACATAACTCTTTAATTAACAAAACAATCGTCCCATACTTATATAAGGATATCTTTCCCTGTGGAACATATAAAATACCACTACAGTTTAGTACAATGAAAAGAAAAAAACATCTTTAAATAAATTTAATTTGTTTTCCTACAATATAAACAATAATATATAAGCTACTATAGAACTATGCATATGACTTTTTTAGGTAAATACCAAAAATTATTAAATAATAGTTTTCTTTCACAAAATAATCTAACTCTACATATAATGATATAAAGTGAGGAAATGTGTGATTTAGTAAGTACATATTAACAGAAATTATCAAAACATCACTAAAATAAGCTTGTGGTAATTAAAAAGATTAATTGTTTGCAACGCAAGATCTAATAATCTACAAAGTTTTAATGACAGTCATCTAATCCATTCATTATGTGTTGTACATGTACATTTTCATGAACACATTCCAAGTTCAATTAGAAGCTGTAGTTAAAAGAAGTCTAATATTTGTGATAAAAACAATCCAAGACTGCGACTTCGTGTGACATTTTTCACAAATATTAGGCTCATTGATTCTGAATGTTTTGCTGGCTTTCTGTATCGAAAACTACAACTTCAGTGGTTGTACTTGTTAAGATAAATTGTACTGTTGTTTTTTGTGTCTTTTGAAATGAAGTGTTTTCATATCTCATGATCAATTTTGATTGTTATAATTCCTTGATAAGCTTGCGATTATAAAAAATAACTAAAAACTAAAGCTACCAACTTTTTACCTAATAAAAAGGAAAATACTTATTTGTAAAGTCGTTTAAGTTCATATATCCTAGTCATCTTGCCATTGTTAAATCTGTCATGCTCTATAAATTTGTCACTTGAATGAAAAAATCATCCAAGTAGTCAGAGAGAAAATAGTTATAGCTACATCTACATGTAACTATATATCTTCTTTGAATAATAAATATCTTTATTCACCTTTAGTAAAGAAGCTGTTGATGCACATAACGGAAAATATACAAGGAAGAAGTTTAAAATGTACATAAACGTGCTAGAAATTATTACAGGTTGCTCTACCATTATATAAAGTACATGAGGGCCTCAGATCAATGACCTATTAAATTGTTCTCTTACAGCAGTAAAAAAAAACTACATTATTCAATGAACATGAAAAAGCTTTTAGATAAAATGTGAGAAAAAAATGAATTGTCTAAAAAAACACTTCTAATTTTGTCAAAAAAAAAAGAAACTAGCATAGTAAAAATAGTATACTAAAAATTAACTTAGTATAGTTAAAACAATACATATTTCTAATATATATATATATATATATATATATATATATTAAAAATCTACAGTTAATAATGTTAACTAAAACTTCATAGTTAGAAGTACCAAACCTATAACAATTGGGACTGCCCAATATTCTGGCAGTCCATTAGCCCAGCAGATCAATGTTCATGTACATCAAGATATGTATGAGTTGATATTCCTAGCTTCGTTGAGATTCAAGGGCTATAGGAACCATAACATACAGGAAAAGTACATGTTTGCTACTGATACTGTCACCAGCTACCACAACAATAGCTGTTGGACTAATGAGATGTAGGAACAATCGGTTGTCAAAACACAGACATGGCACCATAACAATCATCAATGTTTAAGTTGGGACTAAACATACTTCAAAAACTTTGTTAATTTGTTATGCAATTATGTGTTACCAAATTTAAGTTTATGCATCAAATAATGGAAAAATCCTAGTAATCAGGAAAAAAAAAATGTAGTTTAGAAGAGTACGGCATTGGTTTTAGCTAGATTTCAGAACTTTAATGAACTACCTGTTTAAAGGAAAAAAAAGATAAGATTTCAATTTCTATACTGAGGCTTTCTTCAGGTGTAGAAGCCGAAACATCGTCTCCTTTTCTTTCAACTGGCAGTCGCAGTCCATTAAAGTTCTCAAACCTATTATGTCCATTCTGTCTAAAGTTCCGCTGAAAAACTCTTTTAGCATATATTAAGTTTTGAACAAAACAAATCCTTCAACAGAAAAATATGAGAGTAAAACTCTCTATTTATTAATAATATTTTATATTCATAATAGAAATATTTTTTTAATGTTGTTTTTTTTTATCATAAAAGCTTTTATAAACTCTCTACCAGATAATTAGGACAGAACTGGTAAAACGTTTATGAGCCATTGTAAAGCACCTGGTAACTTCAAGACAATAAAACTTTAAAAAGATTTAACCAACTTTAAAGCTTTGATACAGTGTGCAGTATGTATCCAACATTCTGTAATTAAGTTATAACATTGAAATTAAACTTACCTGTTTTATTGGCATTTTTATTGTTTTGTGCCCATTTCAAAAAGGATGACTGTTTTATCATTGTAACTTATGAAATAGTAACTGAAGTCACAGGGCTGAAAGTTTCTATGTGGTTTTCTCTACTGCCTTATGCTGCTATTTACACCTTTCTGCATTAAGTAAATATGCGAGTTTCAGGTATGACTCATACTGTTCTTCATTTGTCTGTAGAAGGAAAAAAATATTGCTAATTAAGAACTGGTTATATACACAGTTATTTATAAGGTCAGTTTCTTATTTTCAGCAAACAAACATTTATTCCAACTAATAAAAGATAATGTACTTTTATTTTGATATGTCAGTGTAAGATTATTCACTAGTGTACATATATGACATCAAATCAAAATGTTACACAGTGTAATATCATATAATATTGTTAAAATGGCTAACAAGTGTTTCTTTTAATATTTGTTGTCATTTATATTCTAAGTTTAGGGTTTGTGATTAGTGTGGTTCTGTCTTGTTACTGACTGGTGTGATATTGATTACATACTTTTTGAAATGCTCCAAATCAAACAGTTTGGGGGAAAAAAACTTTTTTCTTTTTGGCATTAGGCTTAGCAGGTTGTCAGAAAAATAAATCAGTAGCAGTGTATTGCCTTAAAGAGTTAATAATTTGTATTTATGGCAAAGCTACTAACACTGTCTGCTGCTGTCTCTGCCACAGGATCAACCCACACTCAAGTTAATAATAACATTGATTAATTAGTTTTTCAGTTAGAATTATTAACTCATGGAATTAAATATTAAAAAGAACTATGTTTTTTTAAATTCATACAAGTTTTTATAGGTTGTACATAGTAAAACTTTTATTTTGTTCTTATGATGCCAAATAAACCTGGTGAACATTGTGAACAAAATAAATAAACGTTTTACTATGTACAACTGATAAATATTTTGTGTGAAACGTATAGAATGTTTTCTTTGGTTTTGTGAAGTGTACCTGGCCAATTTTGTTTATTTTAAACTGGTTTTGCATTTTTACGCAGATTTGAAGGGTTAAATTCAATTGGGTTTTGATGTTTCATTTGTGTACGATAATTGACCTTGATGAGTGTTTGCTTTCTTACATTACATTGCATATATTACTTGTACTTTTCTAGGTGTGTTTTATAACTGCTAGAATTCTTGATCACCCAAAAATGTATGCAGCTTTAGATCGACATGCATAGGAAATATTTCTTTGAATATTCTAATTTCGAAAACTATTTATTTATTTATTTTGTACAGAGAAAAACCTTTAGGGGAAGAGAGATCATTCTTTTCTGTGCTCCTGTATAGAATGTCACCGATCACGATTTGATATTCCAAGAAGACGAAACTATACACACGTGCCAACAGAGTCCACTTATTTTTGTTGCCTTTTGAATAGTGAAGGTCATTTTCGCCAAGAGGGAAATTCTTGTTGTGGTGGTTAACTTGGATTTAAATCACACAAGGTAGTATTTTATTCTTATCACACCGATAAATACGTAACTATTGCTCAGCTATTTGCTGATACAGCTATTTTGTTTTATCAGCTACAACAGGATATACAGTACAAAATAAACGCAAAATGAGATTGATTTTTAAAACTACATTGTTGAAGTAACTTAGTTATCACCTGTAAATATTGCATTAATTCTACGAACACTAAACTTTTATTCCGTGTTTCTGAAGGATCATCCCAGTAATATACTGTTGCAAAGTTTGTTTGTTTTTTTAATTGAGATTTTTGGCGCGAGGGAGATGTTACGTTACATAACTAGAATTTTCGTAAAATGTTTAAGAAACGATTTGAACAATATGAAACGTGTTAAACGAGACTATACGAGATTGATTATTGAATCTGACATTTAGTTTGGAGTAAATTTTACTTCAACGCTGTATATTTTTAATCTGTGTTTCCAACCCAGTACTAGAAAGTTTCACAGGTACGAGAGAAAATTTGTAAATGGAATCTATTGACGAACTATTTATTTGTGTAGCTTGGCCTATCGTTTGATTTCACTCAATATCAATATCCGGACTTAACAACATACAAAGCCTCAGTTTAAAAAAATGCTATTTGTGTTAGTCATTCACGGGACACGAAGTCTTATGGCGTATACTGGCGAAGCATAGCATGATATGTTGATCTGTAATTAGTATAAAAACACCAGAATAACAGTCAGTGTTGCCAAGTCTCGCGAGAAAAATAAGCGGCGCTGCCATTAAATACAGGTAGCACTGACTTTCAAAATGGTTCAGTAGTAGTAGTAGTATCATATCTGGAATTAGCGTCTAGCAAGTGTTTTATTATTGATTTTGTACAATTTGGATGAGCTGATTTGGAACCTGAATGATGCCACTTCAACATTCTTGATCGTTTCGAAATATTCAAGATAGCGGCAAAGATGGCTACCAAAACATATATTTGCCCATATCTCAGCTTCTGCTTGCGATATTACAACAAAATATATGTCTACACCAAGGTTTTTGATGACTCTGATTTCAACTTTGCATTTCTAATTGTTCTTGGATCAATTTCATATCTAAAATGGCAGCCATGATCAATATTTTCAGGGGTTAGAAATATGCAAATACCATGTAGACATATCCTAAACATATATGTATTACGATACACAAATTGAATCCATACTTAGTTTCACAGTTCTGATGTGGGATATTCACTTAATCATTTCCTGCAACAGTGGTCTCCAGTGTTAGAACTAAGCATAGAAATAACCTAATACTTGACGAAAACCAGCTTCTTCATATACTTATATTGTAACAAAAAAAAACTATACTGTATATATACACAATCATATATCTTCAAGTCCCTATTATATAACCAGTTATTAAATTATCTTATCAATTTAGGCAATACACATTGCAACAACTTGCAATATAACTTGTACATATCTTAACCACTATGAAATTGATGAAATACATATATCACTATATGCTTACCACTAACTAACACAAACACAATTATTATTCCAGTTACTGTTGCTTTTACTACATTTTCAAAGGACAACTGACTTGCTACACCTGGCTGTTGAACAAGGTTATTCACTTGTACACCTACAGCAAACCATCTGGTGTATTTCAGGTGGAACTACTGGCTTTTCAGCTGATAACGTAACAGGAAAAAAAAATATTTGTCAATATGCCACGTTCCCATACAAACTCAGTTGGATCAAAATCTGAGAAACCCTACATGTCTGAAGACGAGCTCTCTTGGCATTTTTAGCAAAGACTTCCTCATTATTTTTCTAGAAGTTTTCCTTAACCAGGTGTCACAGCATATGTCAGACATGTTCGTATGAGTGGGCTTGCTTCCATAGCATTCGGCTGCAAGTAAAGTTGCTTCTTTAATGACTTCATTCCTGTCTGCGTTAGGACCTCCAAAATGATAACGTCTGTGGCCTGTGGACAGTACTTTGACAACAGTTGCTTTGGATTGAAGAGTAAGACTGATATATATGACATCGGACTTGTTGACCAATGCGACATTGTCTCACAATGCTTCTGATGCTAAAAATCATAATAATGGTCAAAAACAAGATGCATATCAGAGTGGGACAAATTTACTAACACACATGCAGTAAAACCATCGACATAATCTTGCCTTGTACCAGTGGATGGCCAATGTACTACCCACATGAAGGTACACCCGTCTATAATCTAATCAAAAACACTTTTGGTGTGAAAAAAATGTGCGGCCAAAATAGGATTGAGTGTGCGACTTAAAGTAATGAAATTAAAATTGGCGATCAAAGTGGTAGCTACACTTATAGCACTGATATAAATTTTTACACCAAATATTCATTCACTGGTTAGCTAGGCTATGTATGTTGTTTTATCCACCATCATGCCTCAAGTTGAACAAAAAAACGCGGCCTGGCTAACTCATGAATGAATATTTGCTGTAAAATTCTTATCACTGCTGTTTTTTTGTTCAACTTGGGGCATTTTGAAAACTTGAGTTGAAACTGCTAATCTAGTTTGCTTGGCCTAGCCAATACATGTGTATTTGCACGTCATTTCACCTTATAGTTTTGCTGCTCTAAAACAGCCGTCTTTAATCCGAATGTTAAAGACCTAAAAACGGCCGACTTTAACTCTTAAAAATGTTAGACTGATAGCTCACGTGACTTTTTTGTATAGCCGTGCGCAAACATTTTCGTTAAATTTGAGGGTTTTTTGTTGAATAACTTTGCACACGTGGTTTATACTTACACCAAATGAGACTGTTATTTCTTAATGGATTACCTTTAAATTTGGTATTTGAAGTAACAATCAAGTACAGCACATCTACTGAAAATATGCGATAGTTTGGGTTACCACAGTCCGAGATACAGAAGGTGGAAATCGCTAAACTATCACTCCTGAAAATAACGTACAGTGTGTCCTGCAGGTTGTTTTGGCCGCACAACACACTAACGTAAAGGCACAGTGCAATTTTTCTGCTCAACCTGTACTTTTTTTTTTTTCTTCAGAGTTGACTTGTTTTTGGTGATTCTCATTTGCCCATATAATCAAACATCGATGTTGAGACAGGTAAAACCTCATACTTAAAAAGTTGTTCGGTTTCAATGTTACGTGAAGCTGCCAAGCCCATTACTCTGGTGTTTATGGGCTTGATGTTATAAGTTGTTTACGAACCAACCTTGACACTATTTCGACCTATTGTCATTGTTTTGGCTTTCAAGATTCCATAGAAACCTTCAGATAAGCCTGCTTTGTACTCTGACATATGATGCTTGCCAATTGCAACCTCCTGGTCAACATCCACTTCATCAGGCCTGATTCGTCTAGTGGCAATGTTCAGCAGGATGCTACTTTCACTGAAGAGGATGAATGTATATTTGCAGCTTATGTGCGTTTTCTTTCTCTGTCATTGTTGTCAGATGCAATGCGTGCTCGCATTTCCTTCTTATGAATGATCACTTCAACAAACTAAGCACTTTCATCTCTCATTTCCAAAATGTCCTTTATCAAGGAACTGCATATGTGCCAGCTGAGTGCCCGTCGTTTCACAGAATTTTGATTAATTGTGAAGCCTACTACGCTTCCTGGTCCATGCCCTTACCGCATGATGGTTGTCTCGATGATGATATCTGACCACATGCCAGCTTTGTGGCGTTTGACATGTTCACCCTTCACGAAACTTGCAAGTGCCTCAGGGGGTAGTCGCTCTG